TCCTTTAGTGATGCCTTGGCTGCTGAACCCTGGCTGCTAAAAGGAAGGTAGCTGAAATGAAGGTGGTGAGGTATGGAGGGGTGGGATAAATTCAGACCTGACTATCATGCTTGGGAGGTAGTGTGAGCCAGTCTGAGGTCTGAGTCCTGATGGTCTCAATTTTCCATAGAACACTGGATCTAGGAAGTTGTTCTAGCTGTGTTCTGGGAAATACTTGTGTCTTATAGTGTCCAGCCATTCTGAGCAGGCCATGTTAGATAGACATCCTGATTTGATTATCACACATGTTCCCTGTAGGTAGCCCTGCCTGTGCTTGTATCCCAAATCCAGTGGAATCTGGCTCAGATTTCCTGGGATCCTTCCTTGCCCAGTGATACAGGAGATTTTTAAAAACTCCAGTTTGGAATCTAGTGAGGGAAGCATGGTCAGCTCAACACACACTGAGCCTCAGCCCACAGTACAACCTTCAAGAGAGCGCTAGGTGTTTGTCACAGATGACTTACGTCCCCAGATATGCTTCTATGACTCACTGAAGGTCACGGGTGCCATTTTCCCTGGATTGTTCTGTCATGTTGGTCCAAGCTTCTTGTCTTTGAAGCTGAGGCAGGCATGCTTATACTGAAAACGCGCTCTTTGTAAAAGCTAAATGTGAGACACCCAGAACTGGTAAGCCCAAGTCCTATGGAAGCAGAATTGTCAGATATCTCCTGAAAGACCTCCTCGGGTCTGAGTATTTAGACACTTGGTAAACTCCACACCATCTTCAATGGATAGCATACAAAGCTCAAGGCATTTGTCTTCTTCAGCTTCTCCATTTTACCACAGGAGTAGGTCATCTACTCCTAAATATCATATGGGGTGTCAGAGCTGTATGAGCCGAGTGGAGGGGAGGACAGCATAAACTCCTGTCTGCGGACTAAGCCCCCTTAGACTTGCCTGGGAGGAGGGACAAGGACACTGCTGGGGGTGGGGAATCAAAGGGCCCAGGGATCCTTTGTGTACGCCCCTTCTTCTTAGGATCGACTTACTCCTAGATCAGCTTTCTTCTCCTGCTTGACCTGGTGGGTGACAGAGGAGGATGACCACTTCACTTCCGATTGTGTTTTACCATTTTGAAGCCAAATAGTTCACTTTAATAGGAGAGTATGGATGAGACAGTGTAAAATATCAACTTTGGGGATTTTTGTATTGTTTTTAACATTTGCTGTCCCTAACTACTTAGATTATTTTATCATATGCTAGCATAAACCAACTGACTTTAAGGAGAGGTTGTTTGTTTGTTTGTTTTTGTTTTTCTGACACGGTTTCTTGGTGTGTCCTGACTGTCCTGGAATTTGCTCTGTGAACCAGGCTGGCCTTGAACTCAGAGATTCAGCTGCCCCAGTGTGCTGGGCTCAACTCACCTTTTTTAATTTATTTATTTTTGTGTATGAATGTTTTGCCTGTATGTATACCTGTTTGCCACATGTGTTCCTGGTGCCTATGGAGGTCACAAGAGAGTATTGGATCCCCTGGAACAGCAGTTATAGATAGTTGTGAGTCACCATGTGGCTGTTGGGAATTGAACCCTGATCCTCTCTGTAAGAGCAGCCAATGCTCTTAACCACTGAGCCAGCGCTCCAGCCCCCCCAGCTCACTTTCTAAAACTAAAATCATATACAAAATAAATAAATAAAATCAATCCTAAGCAAAGTGTTGTACAAGTCATATTTCCTCATTATTTAAAAGAATAACACAAAATTACACTAAAAAGAGTGTTTTCTGGGCTCATCTTTTAAATATTTGCACCGCCAAATTGTGGAAACAGCCTAGATGCCACCAGATGAATGGATAATGTGGTATATATGGGCAATGGAGTTGTACTCAGCCATAAAGATGGGTGAGATTATGTCATTTGCAAGGAAACATATGGCCAGTCCCATAAAGACAAACATTGGTTGTTTGCTCTCGTATGTGGAGTCCAGAGAAAAGGAGAAAAGAAGGGTATGAAATGAAAAGGAGGAGGAAGTGGGAAAAACAGAATATAAAGAAGCCAAGTGCGATACACGCATGCGAGTGTCATGACACAACTCCTTGCATGATTTTACTACCATTGTATTTTAAAACGTATTTTTAAAGACCATAATAATGCCACTTTCAGAAAGAGAGCCAACTGATATCATCTCACCAGTTACACACCGCAGATGGGGACGTATTGCAAACCTTCATCTTTGCTCTGAGAAGCCACCTGGGAAGGCTAACCACTGACTGACTGTGAACTGTCCTGGCCAAGCAGAGGTGAGGGGCAGATGCTGGTGCCAGGGATCCAGGGCAGGGCCATGCAGACATGTCTGCTTTGTAACTCTGAAGCCAGCCTCCTGGCACCCATCTTGAATTCTTGATAGTGGACACTGCAAGCCAAGGAGCAGCACATCCTCCATTCCCGTGCTGTGTGGAGGAGAGCCACAGCCTTCACAGAGAAGCTGAGCTGTTTTGTGCCTTCACACAAAATGAGCCTTCCCACAGAGGAACTGGGTGGAATGAAGTAGAGATGGTAGCATAAGCAAGGGTAGCTCCAAATTTGGGAGACACATCTTTGGTTGACCATAGAGCAAGATCAAAAGGCTCATGACCCCTATCTGTCTCTGTGGAGTCCCCTAGAGTGAACAGTTTTAGATGAAAGTCATTCGTTAACTACAAAACTGGACATTTTTTTTTTAAACTGAAATCCAGTTCCTTGACCACCCTATTTAAAACTCCAAGCTGCTCCTCTGCCATCTGCTTCTCCATGGAGCACTTCCTGGCATTTTATGTGTTGTGTGCTTGGTTGCTGGCTTCAGCACTGCTCAGCTAGCCTTCTCTACTGCAGGATGCAAACTCCAGGAAAAGAGACAGTTTTTTTTTTCCTTTTAAATATTTCAAAATCTTAGGTCATGTTTAGCACACAGTATGAGGAGCTACAGGAAGTCTTAATGAGTGAATGTAGAAGAGTAGGTACAGATGTGCTCCCCCCCCAGCTTCTGTTCTGAGGCCTCAGTGTGGTTGACTTCAGGTTCATTCACTCTTAGCCTGCACAGGACACCCCTCCCCCGATCGGCATCCCTGGGTTGTGAGTAGGTCCTTCTCACCTGAATTTGTAGCAAACATCAAGTAGCAAGAGGCCTGAACACAGGTCCTGAACAAACCTACAGAAGACACTCACCTTGCCTCTAAAGATCTAAAGATGCACTGGACAGAAGCATCAGGACAAGGCTTGCCCAAGAGCATCTGGATTTTTCTCTGTGTCTCTGTCTCCTCTCTGTGTGTCTCTGTCTCTGTCTCTCTCTCTGTGTCTCTCTCTCTCACACACACATACACACACACTCACTCACTCTGCTCGCTCTCCCTCCCTCCCTCTATCTGCCTCCCCTGCTTCCCCTCCCCCCCCCCCCACAGGCACGTAGACCCCACCGATTTGAACCTTTGCCTCTCAAATTACCGGAGCCAGGGAGATCAGGCCACTAGAGGGCGCCGGAGCCCAGTCGCTGACTTTCCTGCAACACAGAGCCAGCAAGTTCAGAGTTTAGCATCCTGAACTCTCGGGACAGTGCAAAAGCTGGTGGAAACGGATGACTGCTTTCTCTGGAATGTTACTTTGTAAGCTCACGGACCAGGTCGAAGCGGTTCCTGATTTGAAGTTTGGTCCCCACAGCGCGCCTGACAAATGAATGTGTGCAAAGTACTTGGTGGAATCGCAGAAGACACTCTCTTGGCTGGAACATTTTCTGTTGACCCCCGCCTTTCTTCTTCAGTCCCTAGGTGGAGGGAGCCCCAGGTCCTACAGTCCTGACCACTCCTTTAAAAAGATGATCCCCAGATTGCGCCCAGACAATACACCCCCCCCCCTGAGTGGACGTGGTAACAGAACCCAAATCACTAAGTGGCTATGTGGGAGAGGTGCTGACAGAATGGCCAGTACTGCCTGTGGCCGAGGAAGGACCTAAGGACGCTCGCTGCCCTCAGCCTCTCGACCTCCGGGCTGGGGTCCGTATGCCCCCCTCGTGTCTTCCCACCCCTATATCCACACGCCGGGGTTGGGGTTGTTTTGGTTGACCAGCGTGGAAAACAACAGCCTACAGGCAGAGCTGACCACCAATAAGTGTATTTATAAAGACACCAACGACCACCCCCGGGAGCACCGTCCTAAGTAGCAGGGCGGCAGGGAGTTCTTTGGTCCTTTGGAGAACACTGGACTTTCTTTGGGAAAGGCAGGAAGTACTGAAGTTTGAGAAGCTGTTTCCAGCTTCCATGAACTGAGCGCCCATTAAAACCAAGTGCTAAGTGTGAGTCACGACGTGTCACGGAGTGAGTCTTTTCAATCAATTCTCCTCCGCTTCCACCCGCAGGGGTATGGGCAGGAGATGTACTGAGAACCTCTGGAAGAGCCTGTTGGTCTCCTTCCACAGAAGCCCAGATCTGCATCAGAATGCCACTGCCCCGAGTTTGATAGTATGATACTTTGGCTACGAGTCTCAGTTATTCTAACTGCAGACTGGTCACATTGACCTAAGCCTAGCTGCTGTTCCCTGCGACAAAGAGCCTGGACGTGCAGTGGGTCAGTTTAAGATTGCGGCTCCAAAGACAGGATTCTCCAACAACTTTGGGATGGGTGAGGGGGTGGGCAACAGACCCTCGCGCCTGGAAGTGACTGTTTTGACTCACTGGTGCTTATTTCACCGCTTTCCCCTTCGACAGCCACAAGCCCTTAGTTTCTCCATCTGCATGATGCGAGTATTACACTCTACATACATCCCAATCCCAGCCTCTTTGCAGTTCGAGTCCAAGCAGCTGGTCCAGGTTGGAGACTGGGAAGATCAAAGGTCTCAGCACCCAGCGGGGCCGGGGACACAGAGGGCGCCAAGGGAGGTGGGAGGGACTGGAAGGACGGCTGCTCCGCAGGGGATGCGCGTCAGAGACCCCCGCCACACTCCAAGCCCGCCCCTTGGGCGAGCGCCGCCCCGCCCCGCCTGCCTTTCGCCTCTAAAGCGCCCAACGCGCGCCTCCCGCTGCCGCACTTTCACTCTCGGTCCACTTCGGTGTCCTCTCGCTGTCCAGCCCCGCAGCCTCCGGCGCGCCCTCTCGCCCACGCTATGGACGCCAAGGTCGTCGCCGTGCTGGTCCTGGTGCTGGCCGCGCTCTGCATCAGTGATGGTAAGTGCGATCCGCGCCCGGGCCCGGGAAGGGCTGGAAGCTCTGCGCCCTGTCTACCCCAGGTCCCCGGTTCCTCTGCCCGCGCCCGAGTCGCGGAGAAAGAACTCGGTTGGCGCCGTTCACCGCAAGCGAACTTGAGGCGGCCACTTTACAGGGCGCAGTCCCTCCCGGTGCCCTTTCCCGTGTCCCACGCGTCGCACCGAGGTTTTGTGCTCTGTGAAGTGCGGTAGTAGGACCTAAAGAGGGCTGCAGGAGAGGATCGGCAGGATTGTTGGGCAAGAGTGTGGCTAGCGTGGAATGGAAGCGTGGGCGTCTGTGTCCTGGGCTGCTGGCCTCCGAGCGCGCCAGCTGCACTCAGCTAGTGTCCACCCGCGCCCAGATGTTTCCAGAGGCAAAGGACAGCGCGGTCCCGGAGCTTACGGTGAGGGAGATCCGTTCGGTTGGTGCGTGTGTAGGCAAACTCTTGATGGCCAGTCAAGTAGCTCAAAGTGCTTGGCTTGGTTATACATACGGTGCAGCTGAGTTTCTTTCGTCCCCTCCGAGCGGAGTCCTCATACAGCGCCCTTGAAGGGCGCGGGGCCAAGCGCGGCGCAGCTCTTGAACTCGCGCCACCAGCTAGGGCAGCGCTTCTACACAGTTCGTTGATCCGTAGCGACGCGGACCTGAGCACGCGTCTCTTTCGCTGCCCCCTTTTTTCTCCCCGGGGTCACTAACTAGACAAAGGCACAGTAGTCACCCAAACCATGCACACCTCTCCCCAACCCCCAAACACACCTGCAGATGGGCGCTTTTGTAGCCAGCCCCAGAGCCCTCTGCTCTGGAATGGGAGCTGCAACAGAGTTCAGTCTCCCAGACCCAGGGTGGTGTCCCGTTTCACTGGGAAAAAGCTTTCATTTTGTTTTCTTTCTTTTTTTTTTTTTGACACTGAAGAGAAAACTCTCTGCGCTGTTACAAGACACCGCTGCTGCAAAGCAAAACAAACCATTGCCTCTGAACACACAAAACAAAACCCTACCCGTCGGGCCCCTGCCTTCCTCGGCAGCGATGTTTCCTGGAGAGAACTGAGGGACAGTAGGGTTCTCGCTGAGGCTGTGAGCTGTATGCCGCCCAAGTGCACCAGAGCCCAAGTGCACCAGAGCGTTCGTCTGGGTTCTCACCCCGTGAACCAGTCAGTATCGGTGGAACCTGTGTTCGGCTGAGTTTGGTTGAAAAGGCTGGAAATGCTTGGGCGGAGAGAAATGCTCTCTAGAAGCTTAATGAGTTGTTGATCAGAGTAGTAAAAACAAACGACAGGCAATTTAGATTTTCTTTTTCTCTCCATTAATGAGATCGTCTGGGAGGCTGCAGCTTCCCACTGGCGGCCAATACCCAGTCAGTCATGGAGCACATTGATTTAGGCATTAAGAACTGTGTGAGCTGGTGAAGTTGCAAATGTCACAGTTGGGAGACAGGAATGCAGGAACCCAGGTCCTCAAGGCCGAAGTGCAGTTGTCAGAATAAGTGAGGTGCCTCACCCTCAGGCGCTTTCTGACCCCAGGAAGTCTGATTGACCTCTCTGCTATCTAGTGTCCGGATGGGACCCTGTTCTCTAGGCAGGAGCCAGTGCATTGCCCAAATTGTTTGCTTCACCTGTGTGCCCTCTGTTCCTACGCAGCCCCCAAGCGCAGTGTGGCTAACCTTGCTGTGGTTCCTGTCTTTTCCAATCAACTGGTACCACTCAATGGCCAGACCTGGCCAAACTCAGGGCAGAAGGGTTCTCAGGACTGATTAGAGAAACCACATTGGCATGAGATGAGCTCTGGCTCCCTGAGCAGAGCTCTCTAGGTCCCAAGTCCAGGGTGGCAGCAGAGCTGGTCTGGACTTTGGCCTGTACACAAAATCTGCTTTAAGCAGAGAAAAAGTATCTAAGTATCTAAAGGCACTGCTCTTCCCAGGCCACACCATCCCTCAGCTAGATAACACCTGCAGAAAAAGATAAGCCCATCGTATATGAGATTTGACCCCCCCCCCTTCTCCAGCTGCATCCCAAAGGTACAGAACTTTGAGTATCCAGAAGTCCCCTGGAACTCTAAGTAAGCAAACTTAAAATCCCCGCACTAACTATTCTCAGCCATACTTTTGAACTTTGGCAAAAAGATCCATAAATTCAAACAGTTGGGGATATTAAGCTAGGATAAAATCTTATGGGGGAGCAGCTATGAATCTGGTCACAGGGCTTGCAATTCTAGACTTAAAGGGTGGGTCCTAAGAGAACTTCTAAAGGAGCCCCTTGCTAATTTACACTAATGAGTGTCAATTATGGCATTTTGCAAATTGGTGAATTGGCAAACAAAGCTGGTAATAGGATCCAGGAGGCCTAGGCATCCAGGTACTGACCATAAAAGCCACATTGGCCTCCAGCTTTGGGGAAAGCTGGATGGAAGGTAACTCCAGGGCCTCCCTTCTGGATTCTTTTGTGATTTCCTGGGCTTAGGGTGAGTGGGAAGAGGGGAAACTGCAGGTGGTAGATGGCGCCCCCCACCCTCAACTTCAGGCTGGGGAGCCTAGAACCTCCTCCACTTTCCCCAGGTCCTTTGGTCCTTTTGTCCTTTGTTCCATAAGAAGTTGAACCTAACTCACTGCACTCCCTAGCCAGACTATAAGGGCTTTTACAAGAATGTATCTGTAACCATTCCTTTAGTTGTTGCTCCTGATTGTTCGCCTACCAGCAGGGTATCATCCTATCCCACAAGCCCCCAGCACCAGGCAGAGTAACGAGTAGCCTTGTTTTCCCCCCCACACCCTTAGGTAAGCCAGTCAGCCTGAGCTACAGATGCCCATGCCGGTTCTTCGAGAGCCACGTCTCCAGATCCAACGTCAAACATCTGAAAATCCTCAACACTCCGAACTGTGCCCTTCAGATTGTGTAAGTTTTAGCCATCATCCTCCAAAGATGGACGCAATAGAGAAAGCCTTGGATTTGGCATAATTAGTGGCAGCTGCTACCACCATGAGCACTCTTGATATGCCATCAGACAAGAGTTTCAAAGGCTACTTTTGTTTCCAGACCCCGGTTACGCTCCTTTCCAAGCTGCTTCTTGGAGCACAGTGGGCTGCCGCTGCACAGAGGAAGCTATAGACTTTACTGGGGTCAGCCTTCTGCTAGCAACGGTTGTGTCTGTTGTGTCCTGACGGTTTCAAGACTCTGGTGTCCAGAGTTTATTCTTTCTCATACAGAAAGGGAAAAAATTATGAGTCCTGGATTGTGTTGAAGTTGATTTTAATCACTTGCCCAAAGGTCAACATTTTAAGATCATTTAGTTCTAGAGTTTGGTTTTTGTTGTTCTGTTTTGCTGAAGCTGTGCTGTTCGTTCCAAGGGCTTTCCCACCCAACAGTAACAGCTTAGGCTTTCTTTTCTCCTTAACTTTTCTTCCCAGCCTTCGGTGCTGTGAATACGTTAGTTACATACAGTATACTTTAGAGATGATTTTTTTTCTATTTTGATTAAAATACAAAACTCTTTTGAGAAAGGTATTTTAAAGATGATGAATTTAGTTTTGCCTAAGCTCTGCTAGCTCACTGGCTTGGGAATGGTCCTTGAACCCACAGTGCCAATACAACTACTGGGTCTAGGCTAACGCTAAATGAATAAATGGCTGTGCCTAGTTGGGCACTCCATGTTCCCTATTTCAAGTCACACCCCTCTGCATGACTATTCAATTAATGGGCAGCCTGTTATAAGAGGTTTACCTGTCCCAGGACACTGAGCAGGGGTTAGTTCCCCACCCCCAGACCATTCAGAGGCTGGGGAGGAATGTTCTCAGGGTGTGTTGGAATTACCTGACATCCAGGACTCTAATGGAGAATATCCTGAGGACAAGTTCATCAGTTGTCTCCCCATTAGGAAACTTTAGGGATGCAAAGAAGATTATTGAGACAACTTTAAACAAAAACAAGACCATGGAGTATTCTGTGAACTTGAAATCCTCTCCGGCAACCGCATGACAATTCAGCTGTACTAGTCCCTGTCTGTGCAAACCTTCCCACTGTATCTGCACTATCCCTCCCCTCACTGAACAATGGCAGGCTTCCTTCTGAGCTACACTTAAATTAGTTCCATATGCTAACAAGGCAATCCATCGAACTTTAAAGCTGCTTCTGGCACTTTCCAGAAGTTTCCAAGATGTTCCACATAAAGTCACTGCCATGTGCCCCTTCCATGTGGCTCTTTGAGCCCCCTGTCCCCACTCTTCCTTCGTCACATCCTTTAGGTATTTCCTCTCCTTTAGTGTATTTGTTCTTGGTTTTTTCATTTGCTTTACTCACTTGCCAAGCTCCTGCTTATCCTTCAAAGGCCAGAAGCTCACATGCCTCCACTGGGGTCTCTTCCCTGTGTCCCCTGGGAATATCATTAGCACATTCCTTCAGTGAGGCTGGGTGTGTTGGGTGAGTTGATGCAATGCCTCTGTCCCACACAGTGTCCCCTCTTCTGTTTTCACAGTGCAAGGCTGAAGAGTAACAACAGACAGGTGTGCATTGACCCAAAACTAAAGTGGATTCAGGAGTACCTGGAGAAAGCTTTAAACAAGTAAGCACAGCAGCCCAAAGGACTTCCCAGTAGACCCCCGAGGAAGGCTGACATCTGTGGGAGATGGAAGGGCAGTGGTGGGGAGGAGGGCCTGAACCCTGGCCACGTTGGCCAGCGGGACAGCACTGACCGGGGTCATGCTGACGTTTGCCAGCACAAAGACACTCCACCAGATAGCACATGGTACGACATTGCAGCTTATATTCATCCATGCTCTTGCCCGTGCACAATGGAGCTTTTATAACTGGGGTTTTTCTAAGAAACTGTATTATCCTAACCAGTAAGCTTCATCTTCATCCTCCTCATTCTCATCCTCATTTTTAAAAGCAGCGATTACATCAAGGTCTGTATTCAGTTTGCTTTGGAGCTTTTCTTTTCACGAGGTCCTCTGAGCACAGTTGCAGGGGGTGGCTTTGCAGGAAACCTAGAGAGTAACCTTCCTCCGATCTGGAGGAGCACTGCAGGGCTGGTCCTGCAGGGGGCGCCCCTCGACAGATGCCTTGCTGTGAGTCTCACGAAGAGCAGGACTGGGCAGAGGCTTCACTTCTGTTTTCCTATTCAGCAACTGTACCTGGGTACAGAGGAAGCTTCCTGTAGACATTGTCCCCGGGCTCTGTGCTCAGAGGTCCTATCCTAGCAGTCCCTGCTCTTTGCTTGCCTCCAAAAGCATGCTTCATCTGGCTTCTGTTTCTCGGCTCTATGTCCGGATAGACCAATGCTGCATCAGAAGGAAGACAGGGATTGGGGTGTACCCTGCTCTCCTCTCTGTGCTTTCCTCTCACTTGGGCCCTTTGTGAGAATTTCTTTTTGGTCTCCTGCAGAATGGAGCCAGCCTCCCCTGGATAATGTGAGAACATGCCTTCTACCCCCCCCCCCCCAAGACAAGTCTGAAGCATACTTATAAACAAATTTAAATTTGATTTGGCAACTTATTTTGAGAAATTTGATTTTTCTACTTGCCTCTAAATCTTATATACACCATGGTAGCTCCATGAGCTCTGAGTTTTCAAATATCAGAGATGAAAAAGTAGTAAGAATGAGCAAGCCAGAATCTTGCCATGAAGTCCCAGTGGGGATTTCGGGTTCTAATCAGAAATGGAAACAAGATAAAACTTGGATACATACTTATGATCACAGATGGCCCTGGTGGTTTTGGTAACTATTTGCAAGGCATATTTTACATATATTTTTGTGCACTTTTTATGTTTCTTTGGAAAACAAATGTATTTCAGAATATATTTGTAGTCAATTCATATATTTGAAGTTGAGCCATAGTAATGCCAGTAGATAATCTCTATGACCTTAAACTACTGGCAATTTGTAAAAAAAAAAAAAAAAAAATTATATATGACATAGAAATGTATTGCAGCTTTCCAATGTTAGCCACAGTGTATTTTTCCACTTGTTCTGAAATTGTATCAACTGTGACACTCTATGCACTAGCAATAAAATGCTAACTGTTTCATGCTGTAAACCTCCTACTGTATGTGGGAATTTATTTACCTGAAATAAAATCCATTAGCTGCTAGATGGAGTGCATATACATTCCTGAAGATTCCAGACACAAGCCAACTTGCTGGCCAGGTGCTGTGGATTGCCCCTGCAGACTGTGGGTGAGCTACAAAACCAGGCAGGCTTGTCTCTTTTGTGAGTAGGTTGAGTCTGCAACAAAACCTTTGGTGTATTTTTTTTTTTTTTTAACCCAATGGAAGTAGAACTCAAGTTTTTTGGTGAATAATACCTGACTCACTAATTTCTCCTCCTCCCCCTTCTCCTCGGTTCTAACATCCTCATGTAATCCTCAGACTCAACTCCAGTAATATCCAGCTTTCCTAGTTTCCCATGTAAAACTCCCATGACTCCAGGCCATGTTAATATCAGGCTTTTGTGGGAACAGGTGGCCTCACCCCATAAATCATTAAATACCATTCAGCTTGAATCATTTTAATGTGACAGTCACAAACCAGTTGCTCTAATAAAACTCTGCTAACCATCTCTCTCCCTAGCTCTCTAGAACAATCTCAGTTATCCCTCGGGATGCTCCCCAGCATCCAGAAAAGAGGGGTGGGGATCAATCATGCTGGCTTTCCTAGCCTCTCCTGGAGGGCTGCCCTAGCCTTGGGCCTCCAACCTCCAGTGCTTTGTTTCATTTGAAATGCAGATTTGTAGTGAAGGCAGAGTTCACCTCTGCACCTAAAAGGAAGGCAGCCCTGGGCTTCCCTCCCCATCCTCTGAGATGTGCTTTCTTTTCCTACCTCAGGGTGAGGTGGTAAGAACCAGGACTGGCCTGGCAAACTGGCAGTCACTGTCAGCAGTCCCGGGGTCGTAGGATTAAGGCAGCCCGTCTAACTTTTGGGTGGTGGGAAATGTCTAGTTTACTTTAATAAATTGCTTATGAACCTCATTTTGCCAAGGGGCCTCCAGGCCTCATGAGGCAATGTTAAAGATTGTGGGAACTGAAATGCACTCCTGTGTGTTGCAATGTGATTAATGGTTCTACTAATTTTATCTAAGGGGGCGCAGAGAAGAAAAAGTGGGGAAAAAAGAAAAGATAGGAAAAAAGAAGCGACAGAAGAAGAGAAAGGCTGCCCAGAAAAGGAAAAACTAGTTACCCGCTTCCTACAGATGGACCGCAGTGCATTCTGCTATGGCGCTTTGTAACTCGCCCTTCCCTCCTCGGGCACAGACCCCACACCCCGGGCAGGTGCTCACACTTGATGGTAAACTCTTCCCTCTTCCCAGGGCAGACCCTCTCACTCTGGGCGGGTGCTCAGACTTCCCTGCCCTGGTGGCCACACCAGCTGCTGTATTTATGCACTTCTTAAGGCCCTGCTCCGTCTGCTAAGCTATGAAGAAAGTAGATGTACAGAGACTGGGGTGGAGGCTAAGCCGCAGAGGATCTGCCCTGCCTGGCAGCGTTGCCCTGAGCTAAGCCCCTGGCCAGGAGTTCCCAAGGCTCACACCCAAAGTCTACAATCCTATGAAGACCAGGGTGGTCTGCTTAGCCAGGAAAGGGCATAAATGCCTTCCCCTCAGCCACACTGCCCCTTGTGGCCTTCTCAGGACATGAGGTGATTGACTTGCTCTCAGGCTCACCACAAACTTTCCCAAGTACCTGCAGCCTGGGAAGGAACTTCAGCCTTGCTCCCCTGGCTGTGTGAGCAGCTTTGTCCTGAAGGGTTTCTGCAGACTGCTGGGAGAGCAGGAGGAATGATGAATTCTCAGAAAACAGATGTGAGCTGCTTCTCAGGGAGTCTTTTCTTTGGACAACTCACTTTAGAGTCTTTAAACGGGTCCCTTGCGGGGAGGACAGATGTGCTCTGGAACTTACTGAAGGGCCAGCAGCTTCAGGGACTTTTAGTCTGTCCTTTTGGTCCTGGCATCCCTGGGCACAGTTGCCCCAGGCCTAACTCCTGAGAGATACCTTCCTTAAGTGAATTGGGTTAAAGTTCTAGAACATTCTACTATCCCTCCCTACTCTCACCGGGCAATTTATGTCTGGATTGTTTGGTTGTTGTTTTTGGTTTTTGCCGGTTTGGACTGGAAAGACAGAGGGCAAAGCTCTGACTTTAGTAGTATTGTTTTGAAAGAGAACCCTTGGTGTTCCTTGACCCTCCTCCTCACCTCACAGAAACTCCCACACCTTGTACTACAGACCTTGGAGCATAACTCCTGAAATTGGAGCATTAAAAAAAGAAATGATCTGAAGATACAGCGAGTAGATGGCAGAGGAAGGAGGCCTGGGGGTACTATGTGTCACACTCTTTTGGGTCCCTAAATTCTGTGTTCCTTAATGTGCTCCTATTGTTCCAGCATTAAACAGATACAGCCCTTCGTGGTTCTTGCTGGCATGTGACTTGCTAGGGATCTTTAGGGAAGACCTGTGTTAGCAACTGTTACCCTTTTTATCTGGACAGCTCAGCCAGCCCATATCTTCTCGGATCTGAAGATAGCAAGCTGGGCTATGGGTGGGCACCTCTTCAGGCCCAGGGTCTCTTCCTGTCCTTCTTAAGGTAGCAGCTGCAGTATGGGGCAGAGTGGCCTTTGTTCTATTACTAAAACACTTCTGAAGGCAGATTTGTGCCTAAGTCACAGCTCTGTTTAGAAAGGAATGCCTAGCCTCTCCAGGACTCTGAGAAGAATTGTTGACCCCTGGCCACACTGAGGCTGCCCTGAGGTGGAAGATCAGTTTCAGAAATGCCCACGGACTCTGCCTCCCACCATCCATCTCCCAAGTCCTAGAGGAGCTGGTGACAGAGGCTAAGAGAGTAGACTGTCCCTTAGGAACCATAACGAGCTTGTCTTTATGTGGCCCCCCGGGGACCCCTCTGCTTATGTGGCTTCTGCAGCGCTTATGATGGGCAACTCCAGGCTGCTGTACAGTCACCATGGAAATGCCCATGAAGCCGATTTCATCTTATGATAGGTTGAAGTAGGATATGCTCCTGCACATTCACAGGCAGGTGAGGGGGGCGGCCCTTACACTGTCCTGCACAGATGCCTTCCGGGACGATATGCAGCCCAGAGGCCATCTCCTGAGTGCCAAGTCCTCTTCTAGTGATGTGGCACCAGCCAAGAGATTTCAAGGAAGAATGAGTCTGATGGAAGCTGTGGGAAGTACCTCTTCTCTTGGAGTTCTGAGGCCTGGGGATGCCCAGGGACACAAAGTGCCTGCTGTTGCTGAGGTAGATACAATGCCTCAACATCAGTGTCCTGAGGTTAAAGGCAGTAAGCCTTGCCGTGTGCTCCTTGTACCATGCCTCCTATGCCAGTGTGTGTGTGCCTTACCATGTGCTTGACATGTTCATCTGTCTTCTCTGCTGACCACCATCATCCAGACCCCGAGCGTGTCCTTCCCTGCCTTCCCACTCTCTCAGGCCTCCGAAGGAAGACTCATGGCAGCAGGCTGAAATAAGGAGTAGGGCCTGTGGCTCCTGCCAGGCCCCGCAGCACCCCAGGTGCATACACGGTGGTGAGAATCTGCCTTAATGGTGTCTCCTCTGTTCTTGTCAACAGGAGGCTCAAGATGTGAGAGGTGAGGGCCAGACGCCTGAGGAACTTACAGAAGGAGCCTAGGTCTGAAGTCAGTGTTAGGGAAGGGCCCACAGCCTCGTCCTCTGCCCCTGAGCAGGCTGAAGCCATTTCCAAGGGACTTGCTTTGCACAATTTGCTGTATTTTCACCATTTGATTATGTAGCCGGATACATGGTGTCTATTTTTCATTTAGTCGTATTGTCCAGTGTCATTGGCGACAGGCCAAAGCCACTATATTATCTCCTTTATTATAGTATCTTTGCCAGGGAGTACCTTCTCTGAATAGGGGCTCCCCAGATTTGTCTCTGAGCTGAGACAGGAGGCACACCCTTTTTCTTAATGGGAACTGGGTGTCCCCACCCCAAGGACTGCAGGGCTTTCCCAAGCTGGGGCAGGAGTGTGAGGCCAGGGAAGAGTGAGAGCCACCTCACCCCATGCTGTCCTATTCATCCATCATGCTCATCATTCTCGCTCATCCATCATCATGTGTCTCCGAGACTGTCTCCATGACCCTGAAAAAGGACTCTCTCAAGATGAACTCTTTTATTCAAATGGGACAGCAAGAAAGAAAGGAGAATGTCTGGTGTTCCCTGAAAACCCTGTGCACATGTATGTCTTGTTTGGAATATTGTCTGTTCAGCCCCCTGCTTTTGTTCAACGTCCATGTCCTCATCCATGGCCAATGTCCTGTTCATGCATGCACTGTGTCTAATCCAAATGCAAAGGCTGAGTATGAGGAGCTGGCCCTGAGGTGCAGGATGCAAGCAACCTTGGTTTCCTCGCTCCTCACAGGGTCACTTTGGACACACAATGCCAAAGAAAGGTGGTTTGCACCAGCACTGAGGACTGAGGACTGTTGACTTTTATTTTTTTCCCCATAACTGTCATCTTAAAACCGGTGTTATCTTCTGATATCAAACTCAGCATTCTATTTAGGAATAACAGTTCTTAATTATGTTCAATTGTTTTTAAAGCTAGTGAATCAAAGGATCAACCCTAGATTGGTTTTCCTCACTACTGGACATTTTTGCTGTCACTGATCACTTTGTGTTCCTTCCCATGGGACAGCCTAGCAGGTGGGTTTGATGCTGCTGCCTGGAGTGTGACCTTGTGACCCTGCAGGCCTCTGCAGTTTTTATGCCGCTGAGGTCACTAAAGCACAATAAGTGCCTCCGGTTCTTCAAGTGAAAAAGATACAGGAAGAAGAGAAAGGGAAGGGGATGGAGGAAGTGAGCTACAGTAAGAGAATTATCAAAAACAGGTGTTTAAGAGGGAATAATCTGTAGAACTGTTATGTTAGCAATGTATGGGGGGGCATTTCTATAAATAGTCCCTTAAATTGGCTTCACAAGGGAAAGAAAACCCATCCAGCAAGATTTCTATCAAATTGGAACAAACACTAAAATACCAGTTAGGATATGGGGGCATGTGGCTAGTTGCAGTTACGGATCTTTACAGGGATACTTTTTTTTTCCTTTTGAACCCCTTGAAATGAACATTCTGTGTGGCTGGACTAGATACCACACAACCACAATGTTAGTGCAGCAGCCACTTTGCGTCTATCCCAAGGCTTTAAGGGTGCTGCTTGGGAACAAGTATAGCCCTGCATCTTTTAGTGTCTGCTCCACAGGGGGAAAAGAACGAGGATAGAAACTATAGGGAGACTTATTTGTGTTTCAATTCCTCTGCTAACCGTCGGTTTCTGAATGGAGACAGCCTGCCTAGAGCAAATATGCATTTAAATAGTACATTTACATAGAAAAAGTCTTCCCCCCCACCTCAGTCCCCCCCTATCCCTTTGCTTTCAAATACAGACCCAGCACATCAGTGAACTAGTGTTGACTAGAAACACCTAGCTGTCCCTGCATCCCATCTTCCCTTGGGCTCCAAGAAACCTGCCAGGCGCCAGTCCCTCTATTACCAGCCTTTGCATCTGGATAGGGAAAGGGGGTTGGAGACTCACAGTCTGCTTTGTGCTGAAACCCAGATTTGTGCCTTGTGTTGTTTACACTGTGCTGCTGGCTCCCGAGGGCAATGGGTCACTAGCCAGGAAGTGCGGCAAGACCCTCTGGTTCTTTCCTGTTCAGCTCTGAGAGAGGGTCCCAAGAGCAAAAGGTTGCATTCTTCCTGGGACCGGGCCTTGGGCCTCTCCAGTGGGTTCTGTTTATCTTCTCATAAGTGATTTTCTCATCCGTGGTGTCACCAGGGACCTCATAGGGGCCAGTCACCCTCCCCAGGTAATGCACCAGTTACTAGCTGGACAAGAACTGGGAACTCTTCCCTTACATGGCTTCCCTGGTCCATCTTAAGGTAGTCTCATTTCTTAAAATGTCCCATAGAATCCTCCAAATTCCCAAGGAGACTCCAGTCATTGCCAAGTTCACAAAACCACCCAGCAGAGTTATTGCCAACCTCGATGGGCTTGTAGTGTCTGAGCAGCGATGGGTTCAGTGTTGTGTGTGGTGAATACTGTATTTTGTTTCAGTTCTGTCTCCCAGATAATGTGAAAATGGTCCAGGAGAAGGCAGCTTCCTATATGCAGTGTGTGCTTTTTTATTCTCCTCTTTAATATATGACAGTTATTTGAGAAGCCATTTCTACTTTGAAGTCATATCAATGAAAATGATGTATCTTCACCTACAATTTTCCTAATAAAGATCTGTATTCAAATACAGCTGCCAAGAATTTACAGTGACTTTTCCACCCTTGGGTTTGCCCCCTCAAACATGTCTCTGGGGAGTGGCAGGGGAGGGGGGCATGCAGTCTTGGCAGAAGAGTTTAGCAAGCAACAGGCCCTGGTCACACTCATGGCCTAACTGCCAGTGCCAGACAATGTCTACAGGGGAAGGTGTTCCCTTTTCTCAGATGACCTGGATTTCTCCTTCGAGACCACCCAGTCTTCGTTGTACATGCAATGACTTAGTATAAAGTCACAGGAGTTTGTGGTGGAGGAAGGCCCACTCTGCACACATAGGTCATGGTAGAGGGCAAGAGAGGGAGGACTCTGTCCCTGTAACACAGCGTAAAGCCACAGCATTCTGCATGCTCCTCCCCTGGGTAAGGGAGAGCTAACAGACACCCAAGGTTGGGTTGCTGACAGATGCAGGCCTTTTTCCTCCACAGAGCCTTTGCCTCATACAGTTTGGTCTTCAAATTCTCTCTAGTCTACATTCAATCATTTTGTAAAGGAGGCCAGCACTAAGCTCCAGATGTCTAAGTGTACAGTGTTAGTAGCCTAGACATCACCTCCGTACTCACAAGTTTCCCATTACTCCTAGGGTAGTTATTGTGTGAGTTCTAAGTGGCATACCAATATGAGAATAAGAAGGGTTGGCGGCCCCAGGAGAGGCAGTGTGAGACTGGGACCACATGGGTGTGAAGAGATAATGAACGCACAAGATCTTGAATTCCATTCTCTCTTTGCCCATCTCCTGACTTGAGCCATGCAATTAGGTACTCTTGCGGTCTTAGTCATTTGCCACCAAGAATAGAAGATCGGACTGAGAATATATAGAATCAGCTAAAATGGTAGAAAAGGCCCAGTCCTGTGCTCCCACAAGGAACCCCCCCCCCCATCTCCTGTGCTGTGAAGTTCACATAACTAGAATAGGGGTTGAATTTGCTTCTCAAACAGTGCCTCAACAAAAACAGCCCCATCACCCAAAATTCCAATGAGGTTGAGCCCATTGCCCCCCCCCCTCAGCCAGTGATCTGGAGAAGCTTTCCATTGGTCCCTGAGGGGCCAGAGCAGTGTTCTCTCAAAAGTACTAGGTTGCTGTTCCAGCACCAGGACCATGTTCTCAACCCACCATGCCCCTTTCCCTCTACATCCCAGGAAAGTCAGTGAGAGGGAAGCTCAGGGCAGAACAGTGTCTAATTTAGGCCACAATGAAGGCTCCCAGGACACTAGAGAAAGTTATGTTCTCTCTGTCTACTGAGCACATTGGAACTATGAGGGCCCATGGGTATCTGTATGAATTCGAAGCAGCAGTTACTTCATAGGGGGTGCACATGGTGAGTACAGTATTTATAGCAAAAGGAGCAAGGGTGACCAGATGGCATGGCCACCCAAGGCCAGCTGTGAGCCAGCCTTGTTGCAGGGGTATAGAGATATGTTTCAAACAGCCTCATAGTCTTTCTCTGTGTTCACAGTGAGGACTTAACACTCAGGACTGTGGTCAGTTAGAGGAGACACAGAGAAGGATAAAACTTGATCCACAGGACTGAGAAAGAGAGGGGGCTGCTGCATAAGAGACCAGGGAGCCTACAGTAGAGAGACTCAGAAGGCATTAGCATTGGTCCATACTCCCTGTCCTGGGTTTCCTGTACTCTCCAGAATAAAAGCTTCTTCCAATAACACCCAAAAGCCATTTCTCAGTCCATTAGGCTAAGTGGGCCAGGTTTGGAGGCCACAGGCTGGTCCTTGGATGAGGAGTTGCTCGAGATCTCCTAGCCCCTCTGCCCAGCTTCCCCAGGATCTTCTTATAGCTCACCCCTGGTTTTAGATGGAACTCCTAGGAAAGATCATTAGACATAGACGTGTCCTAGACTATGCCTGCCATCCTAGATTGATCAAAGACTCAGGCATTGCCCAGGATCTCCTCATATAGAATGTGTTCAGAGTCCATTTAGAACCTGGATATTCTTCCTTCCCTAAAGATACCTACCAGCACCAAACTGACTGGCCCAGAGTCACCTGTGGAGATGTGTTGAACATCCACTGATCCTGTGGAGCTACTGCCCCACGGGTGCATGGCAGTCTTAGAATCCATTCCAGACTCTCCCAAACTCTGTGTCCAAGGATAAATGGAAGACCATGAATTTGTAGGGGAAGTGCATCCTGGAGTGCCCTGCTGAGACATAAACTCCAGATGTCTTGCATGAGGATTTATTCCCAGTGCCTGGTCATGATTTGTGTTTAGAGCATACTCGAAGAGAGAATTGATGTCCACTGGCAGCAAAGGCCTGTCTATTTCTGGGCCAAAATCTGCTCTCAGTTTTCAGCAACACAGTCTGTTAAGTTTTGGGGTAAACAGTAGTATCTACATCTAGGCCCATGTGACCAAATAGGAACAAAGCAGAGAGAAGCCAGGCCCTTCTGTTGTTGCTGAGAATGGAAAGGAGCTGGCTAGGAGGAGGGGAATGAGATTCTTAGGCATTCAGACTTGTAAAGAGCATAGTTACTGTGGGTTGCTGTATGTATGACTCATGGAATGCTGGATAAGGCAGATGGCAACTATAAAATGCAGCAGACAGTCCATGAGGCATAACTAAGTGTGAAACACCCTTAATAATCGAGTAAGAATACTTATTGGTCTTCCAAGCAACACTAAATGTCTATCATTTGTAACGGTAGGTTAAGACTTCCTGGACAATGGCCACATTTCACTCTCCAAGTTACCATGAACTCATGTAATATCTGACGATCTGTGCTTGGAAGATAACACAATTGAAAGCCACAAACCTCTGTAAAATTGAAGCCATACATGCATACAAACATCAAGAGCACACATAGCATGATACTGTGGCATGACACAGTCATCTTCAAAAGTCACCCTCAAGAGTCACACAATCAAGTTACCAAAAATAGTCCCATAATGTCTTAAATAAGTTTGTGGTTTTGTATTGGGCTATGTTCATAAATTTCCTGGGTTACACAGAGCAGGTTGGATGACTCTGCTTTATGTCAACATGCTAACATTTTATATCTGCTTAAAAAAAAAAGAAAGAAAGAAAGAAAGAAAAAGAAAAAAAGATTGTGGCTGGGGAGATGCTTCAGTGGTTAAAAGGACCCTCTGTTCTTTGGAAGACCAGGTTGGGTCTATACTGTGTGGGTACTCACACAGTATAGCTTACAACAGCCTGTAACTCCGGCCTGTCCACATACTGGAACACATGTGGTGTACATACCTACATGCAGGCACTCACTCGCAGGTACATGGAGAATAAAAGTAAGTAAACCTTTTTTTTTTTTTAATCTTTTAAAAGAAGGAAAGAGAAATAAAATATTGTCTTCCAGTTAAGTTGCCTAGCTGTGACCCTACAAAGGAAGAGTCAGAATAAGAAAACAAAAACAAAAAAAAAAAAACCTTTATTCCAGAGAGCAATAACTGCTGAGCCATTTCCATGATCTGTATTTTGTAATCATTCTGTCTGCCTCAAAAGACAGTGGCTTGGCTCTGTCTTGAGAGTGAACCTATTGTTTAAAACTTAGCTACCCTGGGGTCCTGGGAACTGGAAACCATCAAAGGCCACAGTGCTCAAATTTAACCAGAGCAGTGTGAGAAATAGCCCTGGAAAGCAATTGCCAGGAGTGAGGGGGTGGGGGCAGATAGTGAAAAGTATAGGTAACCTCAACAGCAGAGAATAACTCAGAACTTCCTAACACTGAGCCTGAGGTCTGCAAGTGAATCAGCTTTTGAAGCCATTCATCTTCTACTACTACTATCGATTCCCAAAACCCTGAGGCTCAGGCATATCACATTGAGATGCTTGTGCTTATCACAGTGATGTCATTGTCTCCCACATCTAATACACTTGGGAGACATCCCCCAGCTGGAACATTAGCCAGGTCAGGGAATAGGATCTGAGGAGTCCCATAATGGTAGGAGAACATGCTTAGCCTACAGACTCAAAAGGCAAATGTGACCAGCAGAGACCTCTGGTCAGTATGGAAGGAAAGCTACTGCACTGAAGACAGCTCTGGGAAACAATGGATAATTGACCAACACAAACAGGTTCAACAGTTTGTGGAGCTTGTGGACTCTTCTCTTTCCCATGCTTTATAGCAAGATTTGGGGACGCAGCACAGACAATTCTAAGATGAAAGTCTGTATTGTGAGTGTTTACATCCTGAAATCAGAGATAGCACAAATAAATAACCTAATGATGTACATCAACATCTTTAAAAAACAATAAACTATAAGCAGATGGAAAGAAATAATGAAAATAATGGCAGAAACTAATGAAATATAAGGTAAAAGAGTCAATTAAACAAAAAAAGTTAAGTGTTTGGGGGAAGAAGGTAGGGATGATGCAAATAGGAAAGGAAATTAAATTTTCCCTATTTACAGATGATATTATCCTATCCATAGAGACTTCTAATGACTGCACCAGCAAACTTATAGATCTGATTTAAAAACAAAATTTTCATCAGAGTAGCAGGATAGAAAGTCAGCAAACAAATCAGTAGCAGGCTTGAGAGATGGCTCGGTGCTAAAGTACTTACCTCAAAGGAGTGAGGCTCTAAATTCAATCCTCTGAAATCAGGTAAAAATATAGGGTGTCTTGGTACATGTTTGTAATCCCAGCACTGGGAAGGCAGATCCAGGAACATCCCTGGGAGAGGTGAGAGAGAGGGACTAAAAGGAGAAGACTATGATAAGATTTAACTTGCCACAGTCTAGTGTGAGAAGCAGCCCTGTAGAGCAGTTATAGCGAGTGGTTAGATTTAGCTGCAGATATCAGAGTAATCATGCCCATGAGAAGCAATGTCTAAGAGGAAGTGAATGGTGTTCCTAAGGACGGCAATCAAGATTGTCCTCTGGTCTCCACACTCATACATACAAGCATGTGAGTACCCACACATACACATACACACATGCATTTAAAATGAACCAGCAACCTTTTATATACCTATAATGAATTTTCTGAGTAGGAAGTCAGGCAAAAATC